CGTACTTACAGGCTGTGAGTCAGCATCATTTGTTAGCATTATAGACTGTATAGGGTCAGCATGCGCCGAAGGGGAAACAGGGGAACTGAATTCACTGGAACACCGGCATAGTAGGCTACTCTCCCAGGAAACAGTCCTCGTCCTCAGTAAAATGTGTTGCACACATCTGAATATTTGGTTTGAACTGTCTGTTCTGGAACAGTGTTGTAAATACAACTTAACCACTGATTTCCAGTTGTGTCCTCTTTTGGAAGGCCAAACAAAGTATTTTCGCTTTCGCAACGAAACACACAGCGTCTCCACGATATGGCGGCGGCAACAATACTACAGCGAGAATCAAAGTTATGCCTTCTTTCTTTGCGTGAACATTTGGGCGGTGTTATGCAAATCTTCCCACATCGTGACGTAGACTTGTGGGGGCGTGTTTAAACGAGGCGTTTTAGGAGGGCGTGGACGAGTCTTAACTTTTATAAAGAATATCTCTTTGCAACTTTAGGGATCTTATCTATTCACGAACAGCTTGTAACATATGACCCCTTTAATCAATTCTCAGTCTCGCTGTGAAACTCTAAGCTTATTTTGTATCCTGTCCATGCATAAACAGTAAACAGTATAGTCCCTATACACATCTCTATAGTATGGAGCCATTTTAGTCTCAATAATAATTCACGCAAAAGACATGATAGACACATGCGTAACCAAATTCACATGCATGAATTCAATTAATGTGTATGAAAACAAATATTCACAAAAACCAATTTACGTGCACAAAATAAATATATATAATATTCATAAATTATGTTTCACAAACGCAAAACACAATTCACAGATGTACAACTGTGCACAAAAAGTTTTGAATGTTTAAAATTTTCATCATGGACTGTGAATGTGCAAATCATATTTTTGAGACTTTCCTGGCAGCAAACTCCTTCCACATGGGTCACTCATACTCTTTAGCCAATCAGATTTGACCCTGTCAATCGACCAATCATAACATGCTGTGGGCCTATGAGGCGTGTTCCCTGGGTGTGCCTACCTGGATGTTGCATCATCAGTGCGAGACCACAGTTCAAGTCACAATTCAGCAGAGGTATGTGCAGTTGATCATTTCAGTTAACTAGCCTAGTTAAGGTGTATTGTTTTATTTTTTAACATTGAATTATTTTAAATTTGGTTTACGCATGTGTGCATCATGTCTTTTGCGTGAATTATTATTGAGACTAAAATGGCTCCATACTAGAGTCTATTGTCTGTTTCAGCAGTTCACCCCTAAAAACCCAAACTGACCTAAGATCATTTCTTAATGGCTTATTAATCACAGCGCATGCAACCTACACCATGCCAAATGAGAAACTTAAGAAGATGTCACTCCAAAAGTGTAAGACAAAGTATAAACAGCTTACCGGACTATTCCTCTATATCAGCCAGTAGATAGAAACAGACAGACAGGTCGAGAGACAGAAGAGGGAGCATGATCTACATTAGTATAGTGCTGGTAAGCATGCACAAACACATTACAGAGGGATTTGCGAGGAATGACACGGCAGAAATGTCTACACACAGATCACAGTATGATGCAACACTGTGCAAATCCATTTTGTCACTTTTTTGGTGTCAGCCACTGATATCGCCTCCAGCACACATCTCAGCTAATAAGCAGATTAGTGAAATGTGGCAACAGATCAAGATCTCAGTGAGTGACCTGAATGAACGTCTTTACTTGTAATTTAAATGAACGCTGCTAAAAAAAAAATCAAAAACAAAAACCACATGCTCATTTAACACATTCAAGGAATATTTCACCCCCAAAATTAAATTTTGATATGTTGTTCCAAACCCATATGATTTTTGTGTTTCTGTTGAGCACATAGAATGATATACACTAAAAAGTTTTGGGTCTCTAAGAATTATTTAATGTTTTTGAAAGATGTCTCTTATGCTCACTAAGACATTTATTTAATCAAATATACAGTAATATTATAACAATATAAAAATACAGCAATATTGTGAAATATTATTACAATTTAAAATAACTATTTTCTATTTTAATATATTGTAAGCTGTAATTTAGTCCGGAGATTACAAAGCAGAATTTTCAGCAGCTATTACTCCAGTCTTCAATGTCACATGATCCTTAATAAAACTAATAATGCTGATTTTGTGCTCAAAAAACATTTCTTATTGTTATCAATGCTGAAAATAGTTTTGCTGCTTAATATTTTTGTTGCAATCGCAAAACATTTTTCTGAATTCTTTGATGAATAGAAAATTTAAAAGAACAGCATTTATTTGAAATATAAATCTTTTGTAACATTATAAATGCCTTCACTGTCTCTTCTGATCAATTTAATGAATTCTTGTTGAGTAAAAGTATTAATTTTTTTCCTAAGCAAATACATAAAATACTGACCCCAAACTTTTGAATGGAAGTACAGAGTGGTGCATAAAAGTGGTGCATAACAATGCACCATATTTGAACTGAATGACACTTAAAAGCTACTGCAAAGGGAGAAATGTTTTAATTAGCGGCTCTTTTATTGTTTCCCTTCATACAAAATGCTTGAGAAAACGTATAATGTAGCATACAAGCCTTATGGGTTTATGGTGTTTTTAAATAGTTTTTGAGCTCACTCTATAATTATATAAAAAAGTTGGACATTCTAAAATATTTATTCCCATGGATTTAAATAGAGGGTGTGGAACAAGATTAGGCTGAGCAAATTACAAATTTTTGTTCGTTTGGGTCAGCTCTTTCTTTTAAAAATCCCTCCAGCTTGCTACGTATCTACATTCTGTCGCACAGCTTGGAATTAAGACTGTCCAATGATCAAACAAGTTCTGAGCACACAGTGTTTCCCATGTGTAGCTTTATTAACTCTTGTTGGATGACTGCCCATATTCAAGAGGCTTAATAAAGAAGCAAACCTTATCAATAAAACATGAACACCAGCTGGAACCCAGCACCTGGCCGAGAGGTGTGCTATATAAAAACCCCCATGCCTTTGTGCTCTGTTTTCGCGCGACTATAACTCCACTGTTATCTCTCCCAGTGTTCTGGATGGCTGGCTGGATGCAATATCTCTTCTGAATTAATTATCTCTCTACTCTTATACAACGAGAGCACGATCTCTATTGTAGAGCTTTGCTCACACTTTCTTCTGATGCGTATTCATGGCTAATCCAACACCATCGTTACACACATACGCACAGGTTGCCATGGCACAGGATGGGCATGTGACTAATGTTTAATTCATGAGGAAGGAATGCCAGGCTTTCCAGTATACTGGACAAAGTGGATTTCAGTCATAATAAGACTGCTTAAAGCATGCCATTTTTCCAACGTTAAAATACAAAGAAAGTACAAATAAGACATTTGGATGAATTCCCTAAAAAATTAACTATTAGTTACACATATTTTATGCAAATTTTGGGATATAACATAAGTACAATTTTTATGCAAAATATGCATTAAAAAGCATTTTTATTTATTTATTTACATTTCCTGAATATGCAGTACTGTCCATTTATTTGAAAGGAATTAATACTTTTATTTAGCAAGGATGCACTAAATTGATCAAAAGTAAAGAATTATATTTTTACAGAATATTTATTTCAAATAAATGCTCTTTTTTTATTTTGTATTCAAGGAATGCTGAAAAAATGTATGCTTTCTATAAAAATATAAAGAAGCACAACTGAAAACATTTAACCCAAACTTTAAACAGTAGTGTACTAGATGCTTATCATAACGATAATTTTACTGCACGGAAACTAAACAACTTTATCTTTGTGGTGCTTTCAAAGCTCTATTTGCTTGAGCATCCTGTTCAGTCCCATTAGTGACTTCCTTCTGCTCAAAGATATAGTTCCTGACATAACACAACACTGCTATATAAAAAATAAATTGAATAACGATCCACTATGGGAACATCAGATCATAACTGTCACTTTATCATGGATTTAAGAAGCCAGGACTAGGAACTATTTTATACTACACATTCAGTGTTCATAAAGCTAGCTATAGCTAAATAAACAGCACTGTTTTAGGAGTATATCTGCTCAAAGTTCAAAGTAGTTTAGCATTCATTGAGCATACTGTGAGAGCAATTCATAAATGTGCAGATTCAAATTTAACTTTGGGAATAAGAGCTAATGAAAACCCCAGAAAAGATAATTACTTTGTGACAGCTAAAGACCAATCTGAGTGCCAATTAATTTTAGGAACAAGGCAGAACAAGAAACACCTCAGCACGTGGTCCTGAGTTGTAGATCAGAGTAAGATTGATTGAAAGCACATTGACGGAATTACATGTATCTGCATGCATGAATAATTTAGTGTGCAAGTTCATCATGTGACAGGCTCTGGCCTGTATGCCTGTGCTCATTCTATAGGCCTGCCGCACCATGCAGTGGAGCCATTGTGCCTAGTTTCCAAGCTGAATTATTGAGAGAACAGAGTGACACTTCAGTGCGAGGCTCCACCTGAAACTCCTACTCACTCTGACTTCAGATAACAACAGTGAGTCAGATAAGACTCATCTATGCCATTTCTCATCTGAATGACCTCCGTCAGATGAACTTTAGATGACTTCACTGGCAAAAAGTTTTTAAAAGTCAGTACTAAAGTACAGATAATCTTTCTGAAATCTTTTTTAACCGCAAACACCATATGAACCAGATGTTCTCAGGATATTCTCTGTTGTGAGTTAACAAAAATTTAAATTATATAGTAAAATCTGATGGATGCTTGGGAAAATGTTATCAGCAAAGGCTGTATCCTCTGTCATCTGTATTTATTGACAGTGAAATACAGTTAAACTGTGACATATTATTGCAAATTAAATAGCTGTTTTCTATTTTAATATATTTTGAATTAATAAAAGTAGTTTATTCTTGTGATGGCACACCTGAATTTTTCAGTAGACGCTCCTCATCTTCAGCATCACATGATCCTTCAGAAATCTTTCTCATGCAGATTTGGTGCTCAAGAAGCATTTCATATCTTAGCCATGTTGAAAGCAGTTGTGCTGCATAATATTTTTTGTGAATTTTGTGGATTCCTTGACGAATAGAAATTTCAAAACAACAGCATTTATTTTGAAATCGAAATCTTTTGTAATATTGTAAATGACTTTACTGCCACTTGTGGCCAAATGTAATGCTTCCTTGTTGAATAAAAGAAAATTTTAATTTAATTTTAATATTGTTTTGTTTAAGGAGTCTGTTTTGAGCCAGTGGAGAATGAATAGATGTGCTGCCCACACAGACATTTCATCTCCTAAATGCTGCATATACTGTATAAGGCACACAAACATAGACTTTCTTGTTCAAGGTACATCCTAAAAATTCATTTAAAGCTCATAAAAAGAGCTTTAATTAACAGGATGCAGCTATGTAGACTGCTGAAATTCAAAAATGTTTTTAGTGAAATGGCAGGCGTTTTTGGACTATTAAAATGGCAAGCAGCTCCATCTGAATTGCTCACGCTGCTCTCTCTAGAAACAGCCTCCACAGTGTGATAGCCTCATATTAACCACACACTACAAGCAACACTTCACAAAAAACAAGCCATTTGTACTGTAAGCCAAGTCTGGATTGTGGCTTTTGCCATCATGTGACTATAAAAGTGAGCTGACAAGGTTAATAAAGAACCTAAAGCACTTCCTCCATTTCATGAGCTTCCTTATACAGTGCAAATAAAATCTGCAACAGTGCAACAGTATGTTTCCTCTCCTTACTGACAAAAACACAAAGCGCTCTCAAACTGGCTCTCAAACATGTGCTGAGAGTTACAGTCAATATGAATCAGAAAAGGCAGGTGTGAGCTTTACCCAATAGGCTTATTCACAACAATATGACAGCAAAAGAATTAAAGTATACATTCACTGTATGGACTACTATACAGTGGAATACTATATATCTACATTTAATGTACAAGCCTCACTTTACCAAGGTACTTTCACAGTATCTTTTCATAAGGGAAGTCAAAATAAGTACAAAATACAAAACCTTTAACACAAAACATAACAGAGACAATTGCCAAGTGATATTAAAGTAGGAAAAGTGACAGGAAACAGTATCATAAGCTTGGGATGCATGGGTAACACTGGCTGGACTCACCAGAGGCGAGGGAGACAGAGCTATGTTGCCTATGGAGGCTTTTAATTCATCTACCGAGGGAGCTGTAATGTTAGCTTCTGCTGGCAGCGGTCTGATTTTAATCTTAAACTTTTTGCGGTGGTCCTCCTCTTCTTCAGACTCACTAGAGGAGAAAAAGTGAGACTTTTCTTTAGGGGCTGGTGGAGAGATGTTAAGGGACCAGTTGTAAATTGCCATGATTACAACGCAAACTGAATTTTATAGAACTTAATGTAAGAAGAAAAAAGTTAGGTAAAGTTAGAAAAGCTGCAGTAGGTGAAAAAAGCTAAAACATTAAAAAAGCACTGAACAGACTGTATGTCTATACCTCACAGCTTTGTTTTCATTCACAAAAAAATCTTATCGTTAAAAAAAAAAAAAAAAAAGATTAAAAAATGTAATAACACTAATTTATGGCAAAATTAAAGGATATCTTCCTCTTCCTCATCTGGCCTGATGCTATATCCTTCTTCATCTACCTCAGGCGAGTTCTGCAAAAGAAAAGAACTGAAGTCAGTCTTTATTACAGATGCAGTGGTATTTTTTGATAGTTTAAATTAAATAGACATTAATGTAGTAGGCTTGAACTGCAATGCTTTGCGGAGTATCATCAGGCTATTAAAAAAGATGGACTTACATATCTGTCCCAATCAATCTCCCCGTAGAAGCCATTTGGAGCCCCGTTGGTCTTTTTCTGTGGCTGAGCAAATCAAAACACAACTTTAGTAACATCACTCAGATTCACTGATTTCTAGATTAGATTAGTTTGGCCTATTTAGCGGTGCCGCTGGGGGAATCTACAGGTGTTTAGTGAGTATTCAGTTCTAGCGTTAGACTTCAAGCTATAGAACTATGCTGTCTCTATGTTTTCAGTACCAATTCAGTCTCTTGGGGCTCCTGTGCCATGGACATCCATCATACAGAAAATAAAGACATAATTTGAATTATTACACTTTTTCACCATGTCAGACTATTTATATTTCCAATTAGGCTTCACATGAAATTTTTTTTACATTAACACTTATTACAAATCCCTGCATAAAAAAATATTGTACGGATTTGCAAAACAGGCCTAAACATGACCTAATTTCATGACGCTGAGTTCAAAAATATCAATACAAACTTTTTTCATAAAATAAGAATAAAGATTTTTTTTAATTTATATATATATATATAATAAGCTTTAAAGGGATAGTTCACCCAAAAATGAAAATTCTGTCTTGTGGGTTTGGAATCACAAGAGGGTGAGCAATTAATGACAGAATTTTCATTTTTGGGTGAACTATCCCTTTAATGCACTTGTCAAAATAACTAATTGGGTCCAATTAGCTCAGAATATTTCAATAAATAATTTCTCAGAAATCACAAAGAAGGGAGTGAATTGAATACACACATTAACAATGTTAAACATTTGATTAATTGCATTTGTTAATGATCAACTTTGGCAGCCCTAATTAAAACAAACATCAATTCAAATTCCAAAATAGTAAATATGGCTCTTGAAACGATGCTGTAAGTTAAGAGGCACTTACTCCACCATCTCTGTCTGGTGACCCCCTAAAACAGGGAAAACAAAAGAAAGAGACAGAGAGAGACAGAGAGGTCTTTAATACCCACTTAACATGCAAGCCTCTCTTTTTTTATCAACTCAAGCACAGAAGCAATTAGCCAGGCTTCGCTCTGAGGCACAGAAACACCTGTGTGTTGGGCCCCAAACAGACACATGCTCTCAAAACAGGCATCATCTATAGCACCCTGAAGCAGGAGACAGGGATTCATAGCGTGCAAGCAGCAAATGCTCCATTATGTTGATGGGTTTGTGAGAGAACTCCATCAGCCTGCCTTAGGAAGCACTACTATTATAATAAGTGCATTAATCCTGTAAGGTCTGACATATGAGACAATAGTCAAACAAATCAAATTTTTTGGAATGGAAAAGTTTATTGAACCTTTAGACAAAATTTTATTCAGAGGCCCACATTAAGCAAAATATGTCATTTAGTGCAGTTACTGATATTTATATGGCCATAAAGTAAGCTATAATTCTTACAACTTATAATGTCAATTAAATCTATAATAATAATACTGGCATAAATTGCATATACATATCAGTTGTTACTCTATATCTCCAAATTATAGGTCTTAGAAAGATTATATTTAAAATATCTGTATTTTTATTGTGGAGGACAAAAAAAGATGTATTGATAATCAAGTAAACCTAGGTGTTCTTCTTTAAATATCCCTAACAATATATAAGTTATTCTTACTTCTTTTGCTTTATAAAAATCGGTAAGAAATAAGGCAAAAATACACAATTACTATTACCTGAAGGGGGACGATTTTACTTGCTAAAAAGTATAAACTACCAATCAGACATCAGAAGGCATAAGACTGTGTAAAACAGGGTTTTCAGCAAGGTTTTGATCATTAGAAATTTTCATATCAAATTCATACAGCAAGCTTTATAGGTTTTGAATTCTGGTATATAAATTAGTGAAACTTACGTAGAGTCAGTGTCCTTTTCTTTCTTCCGTATCCCGAAGGCCTTCCTGGTGCGTTTTTTCAATCCTGTGGTGTGGGGAGATATTGTTAGTTGTCTGATCTGATATGGCTCAAAAACACACAGTTCAGCCTCACAGACAGAATGTAAGTGGGTGGATGTTTGTAAAGAGAGAATGTTGAAACGGCTCATGTCCAAAGTCCTTTGACATTTCAGATCAAAGAATGAACTGAATCCGTTATTGAATCACACTGCTGACTGCTGATACAAAATTGATTTCAGCATCACCAACATCAGACAAGAAAGCATTTGCATTAAACACATTCATCAAAAAAGACAGACAGACAGACAGACAGACAGACAGATAGACCATCAGCCTGCCTTAGGAAGCACTACTATTATAATAAGTGCATTAATCCTGTAAGGTCTGACATATGAGACAATAGTCAAACAAATCAAATTTTTTGGAATGGAAAAGTTTATTGAACCTTTAGACAAAATTTTATTCAGAGGCCCACATTAAGCAAAATATGTCATTTAGTGCAGTTACTGATATTTATATGGCCATAAAGTAAGCTATAATTCTTACAACTTATAATGTCAATTAAATCTATAATAATAATACTGGCATAAATTGCATATACATATCAGTTGTTACTCTATATCTCCAAATTATAGGTCTTAGAAAGATTATATTTAAAATATCTGTATTTTTATTGTGGAGGACAAAAAAAGATGTATTGATAATCAAGTAAACCTAGGTGTTCTTCTTTAAATATCCCTAACAATATATAAGTTATTCTTACTTCTTTTGCTTTATAAAAATCGGTAAGAAATAAGGCAAAAATACACAATTACTATTACCTGAAGGGGGACGATTTTACTTGCTAAAAAGTATAAACTACCAATCAGACATCAGAAGGCATAAGACTGTGTAAAACAGGGTTTTCAGCAAGGTTTTGATCATTAGAAATTTTCATATCAAATTCATACAGCAAGCTTTATAGGTTTTGAATTCTGGTATATAAATTAGTGAAACTTACGTAGAGTCAGTGTCCTTTTCTTTCTTCCGTATCCCGAAGGCCTTCCTGGTGCGTTTTTTCAATCCTGTGGTGTGGGGAGATATTGTTAGTTGTCTGATCTGATATGGCTCAAAAACACACAGTTCAGCCTCACAGACAGAATGTAAGTGGGTGGATGTTTGTAAAGAGAGAATGTTGAAACGGCTCATGTCCAAAGTCCTTTGACATTTCAGATCAAAGAATGAACTGAATCCGTTATTGAATCACACTGCTGACTGCTGATACAAAATTGATTTCAGCATCACCAACATCAGACAAGAAAGCATTTGCATTAAACACATTCATCAAAAAAGACAGACAGACAGACAGACAGACAGACAGATAGATAGATAGATAGATAGATAGATAGAAATCACGATTCATGATTTTATCATGATTCTTTTATGTTGGATTTACTATTTTGCAAGTTGTCTGAGCAGTACAGCCAAAAAACATTTTTTATTTTAAAAACAAAGCCTTACAAGGTAACAAAATCTAAAATAAAAAGAATGGCAGACATTTAGGCCAAAGTGGGTGAAGATAAAAATCTTTGTCATTATTTTATCTGTTAAGAACAAAAATGCACATTACAAATACACATGATATACAAATAAAACAAAAATATTGCTTTATTTTTCAGGTATAGTAGGTGTATTTAGCGGTAGCATTCAAGAAATTGAATGAACAAATATAAAAATAAAACACTACATAGGCTACACTTCACTGCATAAATTATACACAGATTCCTATTAAAGCAACTGTATTAAAGTTCTACAGTCAAGAGCAGTGAGTGATTTCCCTCTTTGTGTTTTGTTAACATTAAAGGGATAGGTCACCTAAAAATTAACATTTTGTCATCATTTACTCACTCTCAAGTTGTTTAAAACCTCAATGAGTTTCTTTATTCTGTTGAACATAAAAGTAATTTTAAAGAATTTGGGTAACCAAATAGTTGCTGGTTCCCATTGACTTCCATAGTATTTTTTTCCTACTATCAAAGTCAACGGGGACCAGCAACTGTTTGGTTACCCACATTCTTCAAAATATCTTCTTTTGTGTTCAGCACAAGAAAAGAAAATGAATACAGGTTTGGGACAACATCAGAGTGAGTGAATAATGACAGAATTGTAATTTTTGGGTGAACACTCCCTTTAGGCGGCAGCATATTTAGTACTATTCGTCTGCTGTCACTTTAAGACCTGCACACATCATATACGCATATGATATACAGGCAACTTCCTCTTCCTCTCAACTCTTTACTTTCACTTTAGTCATAACCAGCTGTGCTTAAATCTAAACCTTGTGTGTTTTTGACAGTATTAGCGCAATCAAACGTGAAAGATAACTTAGTCCAGTAATCAGCTGCTGTTTGACAGGCTTTTTAGTGTGCGCATATTTCAGGTGTACACGCTCAGAAAAAGCATAGAACAATGTGCGAATTAAATGTTTAACCGCCAAGGCTTTAATGCACATGCAAATAATTTAATTTTGTGATTGCGAACAAGTGCAGTGTCCCGTGAGTTAACATTTGATGTGAATGCACTGTATATCGTGTTGTACAGTATATTGAGACGGAGGCATCAGAACTGCAACTGATAGAATACTATGATATTTCTATAAAAGCAGATTGTGGAGGCATTTTAATCGTCCATGATCAAAAATCGTGATATCGCACACCCCTACACTGGAGTAAAATTAATCATGGTCCCCATATAATTTAAATAGTCAAAACATCCTCAAAACTCAATTTACAGTAAATACCCATATAGTTATTTGGATATGAGGACATGATTGTGCAGCTATGAGGCCTACGGGGCTCTGAGTCAGGCATCGATCCAGTCAAGCCTCTGCAGCGACAGGGAGCTCCAACATGGCGGATGGCATTATTGATCTTTACTAAATATTTCCTAACACATCCACAGGCTCAAGCGCTGCTGTCTGGCTGAGAGCGAGAAGAGAGAGAGTCTATTTCTCAGAGCCAGCCATTAGAGAAAATTCCCAGACATTGCCTTAATGCGTCTACTTTTTCTTTGCCTTACATGTTCCACTGTTCTTGACACATTTCTTCCAAGCAGACATTGTTTTGTCTAATTAAAAAACATGTCAATCAATAATATAACTAAGAAGGAGCAATTATAAATAAAGTTCACAGTAGCGAGGACGAAGTGGAAAAAGGGAAAAGAGACAAAATTTAACAACAGGAAACTAGCCATTCTAATTTGGGGCTGTGCATGTAATGAAATTTACAAAATATACTAAATTTATATATGCAGATCTCCAGAGGTAAAAGTGTTGATGTGAAAACAGAAGCTGACAGCTTTATTTGCAGATCTGCTCTGTAAAGGGAATAAAACAGGTCAAGGCAGGACTTGAAAATGGACTGGATCCAGGGCTTTTGAACACATGACTGTTGAATGAGCTTTTGAGACAGGCCTTTTATTCATTTGGGCAAGACTCCTTTTAATTGTGCCACAACTGCTATCCACTATTATGTTTGTGTCTTGTGTTTGTAATTTCAATAAATAATTCTCCTAAAGATTTGTTGCTAGAATAAAAAGAAATTGCATTATAAATTATTATATTAATTTTTATTTGGTCACACTTTATTTTATGGTCCAATTCTCACTATTAGCAAACCATTAACTAGAACTTTTGCCTCAATAAACTATTAATTTGCTGCTTATTAATAGTTAGTAAGGTAGTTGTTAAGTTTAGGTATTGGGTAGGATTAGGGATGTAGAATATAGTCATGCAGAATATGTGATTTATAAGTACTAATAAACAGCTATTATTTTATTAATAGGCATGCTAATAAGCAACTAGTTAATAGTGGGAATTGGTCCCAATACTAAAGTGTTACCATTTAATTTAATATCTAAACATAATAATTTAAATATACATAAAATATTTATCATTATATCTCAGCATTTATAAACTATCATTTAAAGAATTCAAAAATATATATTTATGTCTTTGCTCAAGGGTCCACTCAATAGAAATACTACCCAAAATAAAAAAGTTATCAGCTAAGGACATTCTCTTTATACTGTTTGTATCTTCTTGTATACCTGAAAATTAATGGTAGGTGTCAACTCTGTTTTAAACAATTTGTCCCTTGCAGAACAATTCTGATATGAATCAGGCTTAGATCTTTTTTTTGCATTTAGCGTTATGATTGCATTAAGTGGACTATTATTGGTCTTTATAATGCTACAGAAGCAATCTAGCAGTTTTGCCTTTCAGGGTGGATAGATTAATAATATGTTTATATTCAAAGAGCTCTTGAAACAAGTTTGATGCAATTAAGATTTTACGTAATTAGTGGTTAGTTTGTTTACACTATTTTAGGCAGAAAATAACTGTTTTGCTATGAACAATATACTTAAGAGATGTAATTCAGTATACAACAGGTGGTAATGCAAGGCTCTTCAGCCTGGATGCAAGATTTCCAGGCCCATAAAAGGGTCTAAATTTGATGCAAACAGATCCCACCCTTACAAAAGAGAACTGTAGAGGTACCATAATACAATGGTGGCATCAAATGATAGCAACATGATACTTTGAAATATGTCACTAAATGCTTAGCAGCTTCTTGTAACATTGTACTTCGCAAAACATACTAGTTTTTTGTAATTTGTTGTTAAAGTGCAAGTCAAAAGAGTAGCTTTTAAAAAGCACTGCTGCGTCATCTTTGGTTCATATGGATTGAGCACTTTTAGGATTTAAATCTGAACCCTGACATATCACAATTTCACCTAAATCCACATACTGGCAAACACAAAAGCAACTACAGTATATCAGTACAGTTTGGGATGCATCTGAACAAGCTGCTAAAGCAGATTACAGTCTCTGCAAACACACAAACCCCAGCGTGGTCACACTTTCCATAGAAGCTAACCCCCATGAGATGGTTTAAGTCCATTTTTTGACAAGAGGGATTTTTAAACACAGCATAACACTAATTAATGGCTATGTAAATAATAGTCTCCGTATGTCAGCATCATGACAGAAGTGTTAACGTGATTACCAGTAGTTAACTCATGGAGTGAAGGCCAAAGAAAATGACAGCGCTAACTGTCCAGGGACACCACTTAGGCAAACAGGAAAAGAGAAGACGATATGTGAAAATAAAGATAGACAGTATTTATGGCTTTAGAGACTACAGAGAAAAACCATAGTGGTTAAAAGCAATAAAGATTAATCGTCAGAGAAAATGCTGGCGAGACTGTAGGTGCCACAGAGCTGGCAATCATCTGTGATATCAGTCCAACTCCTGTTTCAAAAAGATTAGTGTTCTTCTTTTGGCTATTATAGCCAAGAACGTTTTTCAAGAGCTTCCTGGAGTTTCTTATCCAACAAACATGACTGTAAATTCCAATATTCCATCACAAAGAACTTCTGTCCATGTTACCAAGTACAGATGACATCATGTAAAAGCATTCAATATAGTATATAATACAATAGAGTAGTATGCAATACAGTAAGTAAGCAAAGCTTTATTTATATAGCACCTTTTAAAACAGAGTTTACAAAGTGCTTTACAGGATAGAAAATTTACAATACACAATAACAAACATAAAAAAATGTAATCACATAATAGAAATAAAATAATAAAATACAATAATAAAATGAGTCAAGGAAAGGCCCTAGTGAACAAATGTGTTTTGAGATACTTTTTAAAAGTGCACAATGAGTCGATGGCTCGTGGGTTGTCAGGAAGAGAGTTCCATAGCTTGGGACCGAAATAACTAAAGGCTGACTCCCCAATTTTAAGCCAAGTCTTAGGCACAACCAACAAATTACTGTTTGATGTTCGGCGCGATCTTGCTGGAGTATATTTATTTAACAAATTAGAAAGGCATATAGGGGCAGTTCCATGAAGACATTTAAAAACTAATAAGAGGATCTTGAATTCAATTCTGAATAATACAGGCAGCCAGAGAAGGGATCTGAGTGTTGGAGTAATGTGATTTCTAATTTTAGAGCGAGTTAGCATTCGTGCAGCTACATTCTGAATTCTTTGTAAGTGTTTAATAGAGCTCTTTG